CAAATGCGTCTTAAAAAGGGAAGACTGAAGATCTATTGATGATCAAAGATGAAACTCTTAAGCATAAGAATGAAAAAACTAAAAATTGAGGTCGGGAAATGGAGAAGTTTAATGTTGAGTTGAAAAATTGTAGAAGTTAAATGAGTTTAAAACTTACCATCAATTCACCTATGTTAAAAGATAATAAAACAAAGAAAGATAATAAGAAGGGGTACTTTGAGAAAAAAAAAAACAAATTTCAACATGTTATGATGCAAAAAACAAGAAACTTTATGAAAAGAAAAATCATATTAAGAAGAAAGTTTTTTTTTTTTTACAAGTGATTACAAAGGAAAAACTTGTAAGTGAAATAATAAAATTAAACGAAGAGATGATCCCATACCAAAAAGAGAATGATAAGAATTACAAATAAAAGAAAATGAAGAAAACCAAAATAAAAAGAAAAATATCAAAGTCAAATAAATGAAAAATTAAAGCAACAAGAATGGGTGAGAATATTACTTTCATATTTTTTATTTAAATCATGTATTAAAATATTTTTATTATATTTCAAAATTAGAGAAAAAAATATTATATTATTATTTTAATTTAGGTAAATATAATTATGATATTATTAATATTTGATATTTTATCATATTTTTAATAAATATAATATATATATATATATATATATTTAATATGAGTACATAAATAAAATATAAATAACCTCAAGAATACATACATGAAAACAAACCCTAAAAATTCAAACAAGAAGATGAAATTGTGAAATTTGTATGAAATAAGGTATATATATTATAAAAAAATCCAGGATACATAAAAATAAATAAATACTCATATTATTGTACTTTATCAAATAAAATAAAAAATTTATAAATATTTAAATCATATAAATAATAATAATAATAAGTAATAAAAATAAATAATTTAATGACCAATCAATACTCGTAATAGAAATTAAGTTAAATCAAAATTGAAAATGTATTCAACTAAAAATAGAATGTGTTAAAATAGGTTTAGTCTGATTGGAAAAGCTCAAACAACATGCTAGACTAGGCTGAAAAACTTAGAAACTAAACTAAATTAGATCTATTTTACTCCAATCCGTTTAGGCTTACATGAACTTATACCATGTTAATTATAAGTTTATGATTTGACTTATTTTATAAATAGTATTTTTCTTTTTAATAAGAGTAAAAATAAATATTAGTTTATTAAAAATATATATGTATTATAAATTAATTTGATAAAGGATTTATTAATTTTAAAAATAAATATAAGAGTAAGTTTTTAATATCCTCTCATTCAAGAATCTAATTTTAGATCAATAAATTATAAAAAAAAAATAATAACAAAAATAATAAGTTTTTAATTCTTATTTTAAGATTAAAGGATCTTTTATCCCATAATTTATTTATTAAATTATTATATTTAAAATAAAAATTAATTTCATTAATATAATTTAAATTTTAAAAATATATTTTACATTTTAATTTAAAAAAATAATTTTTAATTAATTATTTAATATACATACATTAATATATTTTTTTAATTTTTAATCATATTAAAATTGACTCATTAACTCATTAACCTAACATAGAATCTAGCTAGGTAAAAAATCATAATACTTTTAAAAATATAGATTAGTTCAGGCTATTAATATTTTTTTAGGATAAATTAAAAAAAAACTAAATATTTATTTTAGATAAATTTCAAAAATTGATTTGATTTAATCTTGCACAAGCATATGTTAATATATATATGATTTTATTTATAAAATCACCATAGTAGAAGTATTTTTATAAAAAAAAAATCATAATTTCATTTTGTTATCTCCATTCATCTTATTGAGATGTATATCAAATTATTTTTAATACATATTTAAAAAATACTTTTGCCAAATTTTTATTTAGAATGAATCTTTATTATTAAGACTCTTTCTCTTCAAACACCTCATTATAACACATGATTTTTCTCTCTTGCCATCATACATACATATACATACATATACATATACATATACATATATATATATATATATATATATATATATATATATATATATCATCTATAATTATCTATCCTACTTGTACCTCCTTCCCTTACCAAGTGTCTAATAGATTTATGGATTTAAAATTGTATAATATAGATTTATGGATTTAAAATTGTATAATATAGATTTATTTAATATTAAATGCATGTTTAAAAGCAATTATATAAAAATTGAACCAATCCAATCAAATGCTTACAACTTAGTTGTATGAAATTATGGAAATAAAAGACATATTGTTCAGACTTAAAAATTCTCTAGCCCAATGGATGATTTTGTGGCCCAGGATAATAAAGTCATACAAGAAAATGTAGAACCTAGTGGGTGGTGTAGGGAAGTCCAGAAGGTTTTGGAATTCTCTGATGGAAACTTTGTCAAAACAATGATAGATTTCTGGAACATACGAGAATGACCTTTGATTTCGTTTAAATACCTTGAGTGTCCGTTCAGTCCGAAACATACAACACATTCGTATCTGCTAACAAATCACAATAGTTTGCAGAGTTCAAACAACAAAAGCTACCTAATTAAAGAAGAGAAAATGTCCCTCATCCCAAGCTTCTTTGGTGGTCGAAGGAGCAACGTTTTCGACCCTTTCTCCCTTGACGTATGGGACCCCTTCAAGGATATTCACTTTCCATTTTCGATTTCTGCTGAAAATTCTGCATTTGTGAACACCCGAGTGGATTGGAAGGAGACCCCAGAAGCGCACGTGTTCAAAGCTGATATTCCAGGGCTGAAGAAGGAGCAAGTGAAGGTGGAGATTGAAGATGACAGGATTCTTCAGATAAGCGGAGAGAGGAACGTTGAGAAGGAAGACAAGAACGATAAGTGGCACCGTGTTGAGCGTAGCAGTGGGAAGTTCTTGAGGAAGTTCAGGTTGCCAGAGAATGCAAAAGTGGATCAAGTGAAGGCTTCCATCGAAAATGGGGTTCTCACTGTCACAATTCCCAAGGAAGAGGTCAAGAAGCCTGATGTTAAGGCTGTGCAAATCTCGGGTTAAAGTTGAACTTAGAAATCTTATCCTCTGCTTCTTTGTAAAAAGTATCATGTGCTTGGTGTGCCTAAAACAAAATATTTCAGCCATGAGTGTTGAACTAAGTGTTGTGTTCTATGTGAAATAAATGTTGTGTTTTATGTGTTATTCTAAAAGGTAAAATTTATATTTTTATCATGTTTCAAGTATTTCAAGTGTTTCAAATTGTTTGTGTTGTAAACTTTCAAAGTCTGTTGCAAGAGGTGCCGAGGTTGCATTAATGAGCTTGAGATTTCAGACATCATCACTCAATTCAGTGTTTCCAAAGGGGAATGCGATGGGAGTTTGTAAACGAGAAATAATAGTTTTATAATTCTTAATAAAAAATTTATTGGACTAAAATAGCGGTTTAATATAATAAATTTATATAATTTTTTTTATTGGATATGTCTGATAGGTTTTAAAATTTTCTGTCCTAATTTTTATCTGTTTATTTCTTTTAATATTTTTAAGTGGTTAAGGACGTTAGGTTAGAAAGTTATATTATTTCATTTAATTTATTATTTTGAGAGTGATCTTCATATGTCAAGCTTAAAATGGTTTAATTTAAAAATGTGATGTGGACGAGAAAGTGAGTTAATTAGATTACTGCATTTTTCTCTTACATAGATACACTTAATCTGATGTGAATAGTTCCATCTCCAAGTAAACGTATTACCACTAATTTTGATTTACAGTTTGCAAAAATTAGTTTTTCTTTGCAACAACTTGAAAACAATAACCTCTCTCTGTTACAAAGGCATGAAACTCTGCTTACCAAGAATGAGATTTTGAATCATGTGTGACTTGTGTATTTTATTATACATTGTCAATTTAAATTTATTTGAATTAAGTATTATTTATCATTGATGTACGTGTTTGTGTTGCGGTATCCACTAGGTTGAGAATTTCATTCTTTTCATTTTCTCCACGGCCGCAGCAAAATCTTGGATCCTGGTATCTTCATAAATGAAGATACAACAGTCCCTTTTCATCTGATTTATGGACATGAAAAACATCGAACAATTGTTTTTAGTGCTATGTAAAATTACAAATGAAGATAAGGTTAAGGAAAGAATAGAGTTGAAAGCACAAGCCTTTGGATTGCAGAAGAAACTACCACAACAGTTTCATAGATACAATAGACAGAAGTTGTATTCAATTATATAGATAATATGCTCATGATAACATCATTGATTCCATTTTGAGGTGGGAATGATATGTGATTATGCTCTGGTTTGAGTGCTAACAAACTGAGAGAAGATAAGAATTATTCGATCATAACTAGGCTGTGGTACATTCTCATTATATTTCAATTCAAAACAATTTTGATTGCCTTATGATGCTTGGACATGATTCACATCATTGATCCTAAAGAAATGTAACAGCAATCAATAATCAGAAATCAGGTATTTTACTACTGAGACAATCTTCATGATACTTGCTGGTTTGGAGTCATAGACATACTACACAAATGATTGATAAATGTACATTCATATTTGATGGTCTTCCGCTTCACTCGTTTAGTTAACTATGGTAAATCATTCAGCGTTCTGAAGTGATTGGAGCTATGAAACAAAAAGTGTATAAAATATCCCATGTGAGTTTCAATAAAACTAAGGAATTCAAGTGATTATAGACCCCTTACAAGTGTTGTCTGTAAATAGATGGAAACAACTGCAAGACATGGTATGATTGACAGCAATTAGTTTTTGGAGTTTGATTACTACAACAAAGATAGAAACAACCAATTTTGTCATTGCATATGCTTTTGCTGAGATGAATAGTTGGAAGTTCATACCAACTCAACAAAAGACATGGTATTATTCACTTTTACTCACTATAGTTATTGCAATGTGACATCTTTTTGGTTGAAGAAGCATAGATGGATATGACAAGAGAAAGGGTGTTGTTGGTCTTCAGGTAGCACTCACTGAGTCAGTCACTAAGCAACTTGCTTTGCACAATCTTTAAGCAGCTGTAGCTGTATTCATACATGACCACACAGAAGGTGCCACCAGCACCATCTTCCAGTTCTGCATGGGTGTGGAGTGGTTGAGGATATCCCATCAGATCCCATTAGCCTCAAAGCTAAAGGACATGAATAAATCCAATTGATCGGCAAAAAAGATGGGTTCCTTCGTATCCAAACACCACAATGTGAACCCATTCACAAATATTTTGTGACCTCTTGCCTACCGTTGCAAAAGGTGATGTTTGGCAATGGTTGGCCACAATTTGAAGAACAGTCATGTTTGGGTGTGTCACATTTTGTGGTGTTTCAAATCAATGAGGAAATAATGGCTCCTACACCAGAAGAAAAACACATACAGAATGCAAGCTGTTGTCATTGGAATGACATACCTATCCAAATCAACACTAAATTATTCAGCTTCATTCCCTTCCACCAACCTTGAGAATTGAACTTGTTCTTTGCACAACCATGTGTGTCTTAGCCCAGCCCAGGTAGCATGAACCTTCCATTCTTACATGGTTTTGATTGCTAAAGAAAAGGTTTTGACTTCTGAATGAAAGAATATAAAGTATACCTCTCATTATTCAAGCACTTGCAATATGTTTACCTTTCCAAGGAAAACCTTTCACTTCCACCTCCCCTTCACCATCAGCCTAAACCTCATCAAGAATCCAATCCAATATAGTACATGAAAAGACAAGATACACGAGGGGTTTACCTCTTCCCCAGCTTCGTAGAACATCACTTACAACACCACCCTTACAAGACCAAACCAGATGAGCCCTATTTGTTGTCCATCTCTTGTCATCATCTAACATCCCCCAAAGTCAAAGCATTCAACACAATGCATTTTATTTTTTTTCTTTTAAAAAATATTTAATTAGAATGTAGTACCAATTACATTGTATACCCATCATGAATCATACAATCACCAAAATTGCCATACAAGATAAATGGCTGACTTTTATAATAACAACTATAAAAGTCGGGTGATTTCTCACAAAAAATTCATGAAAAAAAAAACTATTAAAATCTATATAAAAAAATAAACAGAAAGTGATAAAACTCTTACGAATATGTCACGCCAAACAGAAGATATCATCAGTCATCAACAAAATATACTGCAAAATCCTCAACGGAGCATTTCCAAAATCTAAATGTGGCAGCCTCAACTCCCTCACTCTGCATGCCTCATCCACCGGTGCTCCGACCCGAACCCGATTTACATCCACCCTTCTGAAGAGGTAGAAAGCGCTGCCGCGGCGCTGATCGGAAGTAGGGTTTTTCTTAGTTTTGTAAAAGCTCCAACCTTTTCCCGCGAGGATTCGGCAAAACTCTTCCATGGTGCCGACCCGGTGGCCGAGGACCCGCGAGTAGAGAGAGAAAGAACCGCAGTCCCAGTTTCCGGCGTTGCCGAAGCCAGCGGAAGCGTCGGGATGGTGGTCGGAGCTGAAAAGGACGATCTTGAAGGCGCGTGGCGAGAGCGTGAGGAAGCAGCGAAGGTGGGTGAGTGGGGTTGCGGAGAGGGAAGGGAATGGAATGGGAACGGCGTCGTTTTGAAGGGAGCAGGAAGTAGAGGAAAAGGATAATGATGAGGGTTTGGACGAAGACGATGATGATGGGTTTGAGAAGATGATGTGAGAGAGTGACGGTGTAGGGTACAAGTCCAAACCCAAGTCTCTTGCAATGGTGGCAAGCCTATATGTGTCTCTAATAATCTCTTTGGTAGGGAGAAATATCAAAGCTGGGATTTTGTACCTTCTTCTTCTTCTTCTTCTTCTTCTACTACTACTCCTTCTTCTATGATGGTGGGGTTGGGATGTACCACGGGCTTCATCATCATCACCATCGCCATCACTATCGTCATCATCATGGGTGTGGCAATGGTGGTGATTTTGGGTTAGTAAGTGATGAGGGTTGTGGTTGATGGTTTCCCCTAAGACCAGAGAACGAACCAGCTTTAGTGGAAGCATCTTTTTTTTTTTTTCTTTCTTCCTTTCTTTCCTTGCCTTGTGTGTGTGTCCCCTTACCTTGGCTTAACGAATCATAAGTCACACCTCACAAGACATGTCTTGTCCTTCTCATTCTTCTTTTTTTACCAAATCTTCACAGCGACCCAGTTAGCTCCTTGACTTTGTAAAGCAACTCTCTGAATTAAATGAGATTTTGGTTCCTATTCTCCTTAGTATTCCTTGACCCAGTTAGTTATTTTTATTTATCTTTCTGATGGATATATGATGCCATGGTATAATACCAATGCTATAATTACAAACCGAAAGGTAACACTGCATTCAAATACCCTCTTTACAAAGAAAAGATTGGTGCTATATACATGCCTGCCTGCCTAGTATATGGGACCGTAGCTTTATTAGACTAATTATTATGTTGGGTTTCTGCGTTAGAGTCAATGAATGAATCAATATTTTTCTTTTCATTTTTGCAACATTTTAGCCTATGATTGATAAATGTAGTAGAGGGAAGGAAGAGCGATCTATTGAAGGGATTTAGGTATCCTGTATTTTGTTTGGTATGAGGATGATTTTTTAACCATACATGGAGTGGTTTAGAACATCTATAATGTCTGTTCTTAATAAAAAATAAAAATAAATATTTTATAATAAGTTTCATTTGAGTTATTTAAAGTTGGTGAAAACTTCTTAAAATTAGAAAACAAAGTTGTTCACGTAAGTAAATTTTAAACAATGATTACAATAAAATATTTATGTTTATTCTTAATTAATTTTTATTAAAACCTTCTTTAGAAAATGTCCTTATTATAATATAAATAATTTCGGAAATATGACTTGCAATTTAAATAAATTTGAAATAAAAACATCTAGTAATATAATAGGAATAAGTTAAAAAAATTATAAATAAAAAATCTTAATTATTTTAATTTTATTTTCAAAAAAAAATATTTTTTTTTAATTCTTTGTTATTTTTTAAAATTCAAATACGTTTTTAATATTGAAAAAGTACTTCTAATAGATAAAATTTTTTAATAAAGTAAGTTTTTCTTTATACGTAAATTTGAAATGTTTGTATATAAGACATACAGGATATATGTAAGAGTGTTCTATTAGACAAAAATGAATCTTAATTGTTTAGTATTATTTTAATAAGTTTGATTTATTAATTGAAGTTTCATGTAAGCAAGATTTGATTTTTTGTAAGCTTAGGAATTTTTTAGTTTTTAAAATTAAACACTAAAAAATTGAAGTAAGGAGAGTTAAATATTCTTCATTTTTTTGTATTATTCTAGATTAAAAATATTTGAATGTGAAGGTAATTTGATTATATTGTATGAATTGTGTGAAATTGGATTTATATATATATATATATATATATATATATATATATATATATATATATATATATATGTGTGTGTGTGTGTGTGTATCGATTTATGATGAAATTTAATATTTAAGGTGAATGTACAATTAATTTTTATGAAATTGAAATGAAAATTTTTTGTACGGATATATATATTGAACGAATTTGGGGAATTGGTTTAAATTTAAAGAATAATGTTTAGGTTTAAGTTGAATTAAGACATTAAAAATAAAGTGTTGGACAAAGTATACAGTATGTTATTGTTATGAATTCTTTTAATATAATTTAATTTCATTTAGCATAATTAAGGTAATGTTACATCTGTCTAATTAATTTGAGATAGTGTTAGAGGTTAAATTATGTGAAAATTTTGTTCAGTAAAATGTTATTGCATTCAACAAAATTTTGATAAAAATAAATATTATAAGTGTTTTTATAATTAATTTCATCACTCAAAATTTGATCATGGATTGAAATCCACGCCAAGTTTTCAAATTCACTCAGTTATTTTAAAAAAAATTATAAAATATAATTCTAAATTTCAAATTAAACATTTCATACATGAAAATTTTAATCTTGAAAATTAGAAATTTAATAAAATAATATTTAATAAAAAATGATATTTGTATATAAACAGTAGATAGAGATCAAATAAAAAATATATATTTTTAATATAAACACGAGAGATTGTAGTATATTACCTAGATGATAGATAGATGTTATGATTATAAAATAAAGTATGTTAAACGTTATTATATGTTTTAAAAAATATTATATTCTCTTTATGTTATTACATGTTTTAAAAGATATTTTATTATATTATTGATTTGAGACTCAATATTTGAGTCTACTAATCTCTAAATCATATTAGTGAAAATATTAGGTGGTAAGATAAAATATTTTATATTCTAGAAAATATAAATTAATATATTTATATATATATATATATATATATATATATATATATATATATTCTAGGTTGTTACATATTTATAATTTCTTTTATTTATAAATATATTTTTTTTCAATACTAAAATCAAATACAAAAATTTATTTTTAATTTTTTTTTCGTTTTTAACTTATTTTCCCCTTATATTACACGAATTTATTTTTATTTTTATATGTTAATAAATGTTTTAGTTTTTAATATTATTATTATTGTTATAAATTTTATTAATATAATTATGAATTTAATAATAATTAATAAAATAAATAATATGTATTATTTATTATGGTTATTATTTTATATTATAATTATTATTATCAATGTTTTTTATTAATATTATTATAACTAATAATAATATTAATAAAAAATAATAATCATAATAAATATTATTTATTTATTTATTAGGATTTTTTATTAATATTAATATTTATTATTGATATTATTATTTATCTTATTTATTTATAATAATTTAATAATAATTATTATTATTATATTTAATCAATTAATATGTATTGATATTTTTTCCTTGTATAACACGACTTCATTTTTATTTTTATATGATAAAAAATGTTTTAGTTTTTAATATTATTATTATAAAATTTATTTTTTAAATCTTATAATTATCTTATCTTTAAAATCGTGACGAAATAAACGTTAAGATAAAAATAATTTTATATTAAAAATTGGGAAAAAAGAAATCGTATTTGGTCGTGTTTTCAAGTCGAATGATCTTATTTTACATAATTTTTAAAAAATTACTTGAATCAATAATTAAAAACAAAGTGCACTTTGGTGCTTTTGGCAGTGGCTTCAAATCTTCTTAGTCTTTGGAAGGAAATTGATAAGAATTTGTAGGGTTATTTCTATTCATATAGCTTATGTATATATATACATTAAAAATATTATAAAATATTAAATATTGATAATATCTTAACTCAAAATAATAACCTAATATCTTTCTATCTTCTCTCTTAAATTTCCAACATTTATCTGAATTTGATATTTTTTCTTTGATTTTGCTTATCAATCATGTCTCTTTTGTTTTTTTTATTTTAATATTTATTTATTTGAATTTGATATTCTTCTTTTGATTTTGTTTATTAGCGACATCTCTTTTGTTTCTTTCAAATTTCATAGTAGTACCATTGACTATTTGATGAAAGTTGGAAACGATTTCTTCATTTACATCTTTATTTTTCTTTTTAACATTAAGTTCGTTCAAGAAATATTCTTCATATTTTTTCTTTGACTTTTCTTTTATATTCTCGTTTGTAATAAACTCTTCTTTCATTAAATCTAATTTGTATATTGACTCTTTAAAAAGTTCTCAATCATTAGTCATGTGGTTTGTATAACCACTTTCTATAAGCTAATATGTAGATTTGTTGATGGTAGAGGATGTTGATGCAAGGAGAAGATTATTCTGGTTGTGATTTGGTATCTTTGTTGTTCTTACCTTAGAGAAAAGACTTCACTATGATATGGTAAAGAACATTTACCAGCAGAATGATCTCCTCTCATTAATTTTTCATCAATCTTCGTTGCATTTGTAAAGTATGTAACACTTCTGTTAAAGTAATATTAGACAAATTCTTTGTGTTTTTTAATAAAGTAATAGATGTTTTATATCTCTCTTTGTGAGAGAGTTACCAGAATTTTCTCAATTATTCTGGAATCAGGAAATTTTTTGCCTAACAATTTTATCTTGTTAGTAATACCCAACAATTTGTTTGAGTATTTATTAATTGTGTTAAACTCTTGCATCTTTTGTATATCAAATCCCCTTATAAAGTTTAGAAATTTTATACCTCGAATTTTTCTCGTCCCTTTCATATTGATATTTCAAATAATCTCAAATTTCTTTAGGTAACTTTAGCGTCATGATTGTGGTGAGAATAAGTTGTGAAACACTAGTAAACAGACATGTTTTTGCCTTCCTTGTTTTTTTTTTGTAAAATTTCATTTTTTATGTGAAATTTCATTTGAGCTATGATAAGATTTTCAGGTAAGATCAATAATATAATTTTTTTCTACAACTTCTCATGTATCCAATCCTTTAAGATATAATTGCATTTTCACCGCTTATAAGTCATAACTTTCGCCCATCAAAAGATTTCCATACATCCAATTCTTCAAGATAAGATTACATTCTCATAGTTCATAAGTCATAACTTTCACCATCAAAATTTGAAATAGCGACTTGTGAAAATTTTATTTCTTCTTCTATTATATCGAACAAAAACTCTTGATATCACTTGAGGCTAATATACAAAATAAAAATAATAAGATAAATATACTTACAATCTTCTATATACCCCTCTCAACAATTTTCTTTATACATTGTTCATGTCATTCAATTATTCATTGTACCTTCTCTGTTGTATCACTCCTCAACATTATTCTTTATACATAAAATTTAGAAGTTAAGAAATTAAATTAAAGTTTTTAATAATAAAGGACCAAATTAAATAAATTGAGAAATGAACTTAACCTCATCTAAATAAAAGGTAAGAGATTGATTTTTTATTAAATTATTGTTTCATTTTAATTTTAAAATATTCATTAATATTAAAAATGGTTAATATTTTAATTTGTATTATATTTAAAATCTATCACTTTCTTTCCAAAAGTATTTAAAAACTCACAAAATAAATACTTTTATGCTTCCTGCAGTGCACCGCTGCGTGGTTTTTG